ATAGATACATAGTCACTCATTTAGATTCAAGTACCCAGTGTGAGCGAAAGAATTGTTGAGAAATGTATGTGTGAAACACCAATTTTATCAATTAAAGTCATTTACTTTTCCAGTATTTTACTTGCTTTTCTCCTTTAAATTCCTGTCGAACCTTTACTTTAAAGCCTTGTTTATTTTACCAAGCCTTTCCTTTATGCAATTTACTTGAAACATTTTACTTAAAGCCTTATCCACCCTAATCAAACTTCAAAATCAACCTATGTCCATAGGATCAATCTGATCGATCCTGCGAGTAACCAAATAAGTAACCATTTGGAGGATCAGCGGTTGTTTACCAAAACCCAAGGTAAACAGAGACCGAGGCCGAACGACTCCTTATATAGGAGAACAGTAATTGAAAACGAAGAGACATATTTGTTCGAAACAAATATGTCAGTTGGGAAACAGTTATGTCCGTTGGGGAAAGGATTCAAAATTTTTGCACGGGGCGCTGCCCCGCACCCCGCCAGGGGCTTCGCCCCTTGGAACCCCGTTTCAATTATTCGTATTCAATTATGCATTGGCTCGACGAGCGTGCACTCCGCACTTCCCTAACTCGTCTCCAAACTTAACGCATAATTGCATCGGCCTTTAGAAATCACATTACTACTAAAATACATTGGTGATACAAAATCGCCAACATTCTTTGTTTTTTTAAAACCACATGATAAACATTTGATGGTTTGTATTTTTTACCCACATTTTTGGTATCAACAATTTTTATTTCGCTTTTACAATAACAATTACACAAATTATTCACGATACACACTTTTACACAGCACAGTTATAAACGTTTTATACACCACACCTAATTTCTAACCACTACCGCCCACTTCGTCATATTTTTTAATTTTTTGTAATAAAAACAAAATTTATTTAAATAATTGGATACGATACAAATCATCTTAAATTAATTTAAAATACAACACACAATTAACGTAATTAGTACGTTACAAATAATTTAAAATGCAATACAACACACAAGTAACGTAATTAGTACGATACAAATAATTTAAAATGCAATACAACACACAAATAATTCAATCACGGAACATTCCAAACTTTGTCCATATGTGCTTCACTAGATCGGCTTGCAATTCTTGATGAACATTTGGATCACGGAACTCTGATCTAGCACGCACATGATTTGCAAAAGCGGGTAACACCTCGGTCGAGTATGGTTGTGGTGCACTAGATCCACTTTCCCCAGACTGCTCAAAATCGGTCCAACGTTGAGAATATGAATCTCGTTCATCCTCAACAATCATATTATGTAATATGATGCATGACCTCATAATGATACCCAAATCAGCTATGTCCCACAAGCGAGCTGGTTCACGGATGATTTTAAATCGAGCTTGGAGCACTCCAAATACACGTTCGATGTCCTTCCGACATCCCTCCTGAAATTTTGCAAATAATTTATCGGGTTCACTTTGAGGAAGTCTAATCGATTTGACGAAAGTTGGATAAGAAGGGTAGATACCATCAGCTAGATAGTATGCCATATTATATGGACGTTGATTCACAAAGAAATTCACACTTGGAGCCTTTCCCTGTTCCACGTCATCAAACACTGGTGACCGGTCTAGAACGTTTATATCGTTCAACGTTCCCGGACATCCAAAAAAGGCATGCCAGATCCATAGGTCATGAGATGCAACTGCTTCAAGAATAACTGTGGTGGTTCCCTTATCCCCTCTAGTAAATTGTCCTTCCCATGCTTTAGGACAATTTTTCCACTCCCAGTGCATGCAGTCAATACTCCCAATCATCCCTGGGAACCCCCGCATTTCACTAACATGCAGTATTCTTTGCAGGTCATCTTGGGTTGGTGCTCTCAGATACACTTGCTCGTACAAGCGTATGATTCCTTTACAGAATCGACGTAAGCACTCCAATGCTGTAGTACCTCCTATTTTGATGTACTCATCGACCGCATCTGCTGCCACACCATATGCTAACATTCGCATTGCTGTGGTACATTTTGCTAAGGGTGATATACCTTCTTTATTGGCTGCATCAACTCGCTGGGTGAAGTAGTTATCACTACTTGAAAGGTCCCCAACGATTCGAAGGAAAACATTTTTTTTCATCCGGTACCGACGACGAAACATTGCATCGTCATATGTAGGCTCATTGGCAAAGTAGTCGTCAATTAGTCTTTGGTTTGCCGCTGCATGATCTCTATTGAGATATTTTCTACTACGAGGTGCATTATCTTCCGATATTTTGTTTCTACGCTCTCTAAATCGATTGACTATATAATTTTCTTCAATTTCACGATTTTGATTGTAGGCAGCGATATCAAAATGATATTGTGATGGATCCATTTTTTTGTGATATTGGAGGTAGATTGGATGGGATTTGGGATATTGGTACATAAATGGATGTATGAGTCCCTATATATAAATGGATGTGGGTGGTGGACCACTGACGGATTCGAAATAATTTATTGTATATAGTTAATTATCAGATAAGGAATAGATTCGAATTGGGTGGTGGACCACTGACGGATTCGAAATAATTTATTGTATATAGTTAATTATCAGATAAGGAATAGATTCGAATTGGGTGGTGGACCACTGACGGATTCGAAATAATTTATTGTATAGAGTTAATTATCAGATAAGGAATAGATTCGAATTTGGTGGTGGACCACTGACGGATTCGAAATAATTTATTGTATAGAGTTAATTATCAGATAAGGAATAATTAAAGCAAACACTACACTGGCATATTGAAACAACAATAATTAAAGCAAACACTACACTGGCATATTGAAACAACAATAATTAAAGCAAACACTACACTGGCATATTGAAACAACAATAATTAAAGCAAACACTACACTGGCATATTGAAACAACAATAATTAAAGCAAACACAACACTGACAAATACTTCATTGAAATTAATTATCAAACAGTTCTGCCTCCAACTTTTTCAACAGCTGGTTCTTCCGGTCATCTAGATGCTCTTCGGAAGTTAGCTTTAGATACATCTTCATTTTCTTGGTTTTAGTCTTCTCCAAGGCTATATTGTTAGCCTGCTGTTGCATCAACGCTATGTTGTCCAATCGTTCAAGCTCTTTCGTCTTGAATTCTTTGTATTCAGCCCATTCTTTGTCCACCACCTCCGAGGCATATTCCTTGCTTTTCTTTTTACCCTTTTTTTTAGCTGCCTCCCTTCCTATAGGACGAGCACTGGATTCTACAGTGTTTGAGCCACATGCATCACTCTCGCGAGATCTCTTAGATCCACTACTTCCTGAGCCAATATTTCCTCCTACTTGACTACCATAACGTGGTTGATCACAGAGAGCGTGCCATTCTTCCATTAAAGTGAATTTAACATTCTTCCCACATGCATATAATTCCTGCGCTTTTGCCAAAACATCATTCTCCGACCAACCACTTCCTTGCATACGCTTAGCGCCATCATAAGCGCCAATCCATTTACCCAACACTTTGTTCATATAATTAAAACGGTTTCGGCATGCAGGTCCATCATGCGGAGGATCGAATGAGCAATGCTCATTACAATACTCAGCAATTTTACCCCAATATGTTTCACCTTTCTGGTTTCTCCCGACAACACTGCTTGTTCCAAATTTAATCCACCCACTAATTAGAACCAAATTTTGTTCAGTGTTCCATGCTGGTTGCTGAGTTTTCCTGCTCTTAGGAGTTGAATCCTCTGAATTCGGACCGACTTCATTAGAAACAATCATGCCACCAATAGTTAGTTGTGTTGAAAACTCGGGAAATTCAGGTACACCACCACTTGGAAAATTTGCATTCGCCATTGTCACATAACCATTAAACGGGGGTGTTTGAGATGGATTTCTCGGCATAGATCCATAATATGTTTGAATGTTTGGAACAGAGGATGTCTGGTTGAAATTTGGTGGAAAACCAAAATTAGGTATGTTTTGAGGATGTTGGATGGAAAATTGATTTGGATTTTGATAATAGTTGGGATTTTGATAATTGTTGGGATTTGGAAAATTGTTGGGATTTTGGTTAAATGGAAAATTAGTAGAATCTTAGTGTTAAAATGATTATTGGGATCCATTTCACTAAAAAAAAGACACTTAACTTTAAAATAAACACTAATAATAAAATTAAGATAGTGAAAAACTTAGTTTTTTTTTGTGTCCAAATCAAATGAACCAAGTCTCTATTTATAGAGAAAAAAAAAATCATGAATTTTGGTAAAAAAAAAAAAAAAAAAAATTAATTTGCAACGAAATAATTGAGTTCAAAGTATTAAATGGATAAAAATCTAGTCAGCCAATCAAGCACAGCCACGTGGCTGCACTTATCCCTTTTCTCTTTCTCTCTCCGCGTGGATTAAGACCCACTCTCACCCCAGCGAGTGGGCTACACGCGCCTGGCCCAGACCAATGAGGCGCTGCCACGTCATGCCCTTGGTCAGCTTCAATTGTGTTGAGTTTTCTCAACACCTCTCTCTTCCAACACACACTCAACACCTCTCTGAACACCCATTGGAGGAGATTTTGCATGTTGAATTCAAACTCAACATACCCATTGCACATGGTCTTATTATATATGATTAATACATACACATTTCAATCTATCAATACATACATTATGAGTTTAGTTTTATTGAACTTTTTTTGTGGTTTAAGTTAAAACTTATTAGTGGTCATCTACAAAACAAACAGGATTTTACGTGTCAAGTTGTTCTCTTTGCTTTGGTTAGATCACAATTAATTACAATACTCAGCAACCTCAAGAAAAAATCACAAACAGATTTCGATACAATATATCACAAACAGATTTCGACACAATATCATTATCATCTCCATGTCCATGATATCGAACAACCTGTGGATTCTTCCTTTTTTTGGATACAACAACAATACAAAAAAATATCACAACAAATTGAAACAAAGCAAATGTACCGCACGCAAATCCGTCCCCTACGCTCGCGGCGATGAAGCCGAGATTCGTCGTCTATGAGACTGCCGTTGCGGCCCCTTCCACCACCGGTCTCTTTCCGGCCGCTTCCACTCAACACCGCTCCTCACTGTCGGCAAGGCAACTCCCAATAACCTTCTTCCCCCGCCCATCTCCTCGTCGTTCCACCTATAACTCGCCGCCGAACACGCTCCAAACAGCACCACGTCACCACCGTCTCATCAGATCTCGCCGGCCGTCCTCTTCATATACCACGACCAAACCGTTGGTCAAGTTAATTTACATGTGTCATTTGAATTAATCCAAATTATTTAATTAGTCCAAATTTGTTAAATAAATCCTAGTATTATGGCATGTCCTATCTTTTAGGAGTTGTTTTACTTTTTCTTTGTAACTGCCACGGAGAACGTGGCTTTCTTATTTGTTTCAGTTTGTATTGGCTATTTAAAAGCCAAGTATCATCTCAAATAAAGTAATACATTTGCCTTCCTCTCATCTTGAGTGTGTTCAATACATATTTCAAACACGAACAACAACCCTTCACGGCGGTCGAAATGCTATGCACCACCATCCGAGACTGCTAGCATCCAGGTTTTCTTTACTTGATTTTTTTGTTTTTTGTTCATAAATTTTTTGTGGTTTTGTTTGTATGGATGAAGAAGATGGAACTGAGAGGAATGGGTTTATTGGTTTTGTTTTCACGATAAAACCTTGGGTTAGAAATATATGTGTTATTTTATTTTTATCTTTAATAATATAGCCACGTGTCAATATTTGAGTGGTTCCTTCCAAATAAATTAAGGTCAAATTCCTTCGCCTAGAGTGACCGAATTCATACTACTGAGAAAAATTGGAGGTAGTGTGCATTGGGGCGCCGCACTACCCATCCATTGCATGTATTTTCTATTTTTTTTTATTTATTATTATTTCAATAATGATTTAAAAATTAGGGTCAGTAGTTAATGGGTTTGGGCCATAGTTTCTCACTAACTTTACTATTATAGAACACCACAAGTTTATCTTAGATCCGTTTTTTTATTTAGTTAATTAATTAATTATTAGGATTAGCTAAATTTTCTCTTTAAGAAAAAATACAAAATTTAATTCTAAAATAAATCATTAACATGTACATAAATCAAACTCTTTAAATCAAATTAATTCAAATGTTTTACAAATAAAAGGATATGCATCCTTGAATAATTAATTTGTCGACTCGACGTCGTACTAATTAATTATTCAAATCTAAAATATTAAAATTCACAAATAAATTAAGGTCAAATTCCTTCGCCTAGAGTGACCGAATTCAAATAAGGATTAAATCTTTATCGATCAAGTCAAATTTCTTTGCCTCGAGCGAATTAATTCTGATAAAGATCAAGATTCTTTATCAAGACTTAATCGAATCAATTATTTCGCCTAGAGCGACTTAATTTTGATGAAGATCGATCTTTTTCAACGATTTAAAACCCTAATTAAAATGCTTAGTTAAAACAGCTAACCAATTACAAATAATTATTTACTAACTTAATAAAAAATTATAAGATATTTAAAAAAAGGATTAAATAGTATTGCCTTCAAACTTAACTACGAACTACGTCTACGATAACTCTTTTTCAAACCCATACAAGGTTCAAGGATAATTCGAAAGCAAATCTACGCAATCTTATAAAAAAACAATAACCAAACATACGAACTATGAAATTGGACTCTAATTCTTCATAAGGAGATACGTAGGCATGCGGTTAAAACCAAGGTGAATCCAGCTATTAAAAAATTAAATTCTTTCCTCAACATATAGAAATATTAACTATCAAATTCCCATTTTACCCTTAAATCTAAAAACGAGCCCCTTTAGAAAAAGAGAGATGAAGGGTGCCTAACACCTTCCATTCATCTAATTGACATACGAATTTAGAATTTATGTACGAATTAGGGTTATCTATTATTCTCCATCCTTAGGATAAAAATTAATGATGACGACTCTTCTATTTTTTTCCAGTTACGACAACTGACAATTCTGTTGGAGACACAACCCTAAGGTTTAGAGTCTTCCATATCTTTTAGGTCTAGGTTTTCTTAGGTGCTTTCTATTTTTGGTATGTTTTATTTCTATATATATTTATTTGTTTATTTTTATTTACTTATTCATGTTATCATTATTATCATTTTTATTTTGTTGATTGGTGGCGATTTAAATTCAAAATAATATCAAACCTTAGAAGAAGGATTGTCTATTAGCCAAGGGGAGTAAACACCCCTACGAGCTTTTGTGACGACTTCGCCTAGAGTCGATTGAATTGCAAGGAAGGAATATCTTTTAGAGGGCTAGACTCTCTAAAAGGTAGGACTTCAGAATTTGGCCAATGACTCTTTGTATAACCCTAAACAAAATCTCATGGTGAGACCTTGTACGACCTAAGAGACGAAAGTTTCGGTCTACAAAGAGGCTCCACTTAAGGGAGGCCTCTTGCCTTTTCCCTTTATTGTCATCCATGATACCCTTAAGAAAACCACCCTCTTATAATCCCATTTGTCCCCTACCTACTAAGGATACCTTTTATAATCCCATTTCCATTAACCTAAAACCGATATAGGGTATTCACTATCCTAAACCCATATAGGGTATTCACTACCCTAAACCCGTAAGGGTTTCCTCTTGGTTATCATAATCTCTAGCTTGTTGGGATTTCCTGTGGTATAGCATAATCCCTAGCCTGTAGGGATTTCCTTTGTTTGTTATAATCTCTAATGGTAGGGATTCTCTTTTGTCTGTCATTGTCCCTAAAACCTTTATATGATCTTGTTCTCCATATGGAACCTTCCCATAAAGGACATCCTCGCTGATGCACGCCATGTGGCCTCTAGAAGGCCATGGGATTTGGTGACCGTTGAACAGTCACCATGTGCTCTCTTCCATGTTATTCCCTCAGTTAAATCGTCATCTCAAGTCCAAGAGCTAAGAAGTATATCTCCTAAAGTCAATTGGATCAACAAAGAAGCTCTCCCATAAGATCATTAGACTTTATCAATTTCAAATTGTAATTTCCAAGTTGCTAAGTTGTATTTGGTGTAAATTTGTATCATTTGACTAGTAACTCGAATAAAATGAGCATGCACATTTTCAAAGTCAATTCATTCATTTCACTCTTTCATCACTTTCCATATATAATCAACGGCTTTTCCATTTCGCTTTTCACTTTTCCATCTTTCACCTTTAACAAACTTGGAGGGAGAGTGGTGTAAATACAAAATAAATAAAATGGGCTAACATATGATTTTAATGTAAGATCGACCTGACGATGTAAGGCAGTGTTTCAAATTCTAAACTGTGGAGAAATAAGGAAGTTAATATGTAGTTAACCCTCTCGAGCCAGGAGTTGGAGTTTTGTTCTATTTTAAAAAACCTTAATTTCAACCAGGGGCAGGGTAGGTTTCAATTAATTCAATGGAGTATCCTAATCTCAGGAGTATCAATTCAATCTAAGAAAATGTTCAAGCACATCCTTTTCCTCGCATCCATCATCCAAGGTTGAGGAGTCAATGAAGATAAAACCTACGATGTCTTCCTCCTTAGTTCATCATTCAAGATCGAGGAAACAATGAAGACAAGCTTACAAAGTTAACATGGAAGTCACAAATGTTCAAAATAAAAAAAAAAGCAAAAAGAAATTCAAAAGGAGAAATCCCGCTAAGTCAAATAAAATTAAAAAAAAATGACTTAGGCAAAAGTTAGGGGATCACGATGGGCCAAAATTGAAAAGAATTGGTCCATGCAAAAATAAGGGATTGAAAAAAATAAATTGGATAAAAATCATGTAACTTCCACCTCAAGAATCATCAAGGCTTCTCATCAATGCTTAGATCTTATTAATGCTTTTCATCGGTGCTTGGATCTTTACTAATGCTCCTGCTCATCATCGCGACTGTGAAAATTCTCTTGCAGACTGAATACATCCATTGGATTATTCGAACTTAGGATTGGAGAACATCAAGGAGAATGAGGTTGGTTAAAATAAATCTTGAGCCTTATATCCTTTTTTTCTTAAACCGTGAACAAAGGCCATGCTACAACCCTCAAAAGTCCTAATTGAAGCAAGGTCAACTATGAAAGCATACTCGGCAAAATTGGTGTTAGACTGACTCCTATGTTTGTTAAAATTATTGCTAACCACTTCGCTTCTTCGAATTTCCATTTCTAATCATCCATTTTTATTCCATAACAAACTTCGATTTCAAAACTTGCACAGGAATCAAATAGGATTACTTTTCAAAATGTACAATTTTATCTACGAATAGACACTTAGCATCAAGGAGATCTAAAAAATTAGTTTTTTCAAAAGCGATTCTTTCCAGGAGGCTCCTAACTAGGGGCAAAGCTTCTAGGAAGAACCCTATGATCATAGGCAATGTAACACCCCATTTTCCCATAAGAATAATTATATCAACATACAAGAAATATATTAGAGTCTACACAATGGGATGCCACATAATTCAAATTTTCATAAAGTCTCAAATCACTTTATTACTCCATTTATTCATAATAATTATTTCGGCAGCGGAATAGTCAAATTAATTCACTTATATGGTATAAAGCCTCAACAATAATAAAACTCCACTAACTGTGGTCTATCATAAAGTGTAAAAGTATGATACGTGACAAAAAAACAATACAAAAGTATAATTAATTCCCAAATCCCGTTTATGTATCAGTGTGACTCCTAAGACTCGATCAGGCAACTGTTGGCTCCTAAATTCGACACCCTTGTTTTTATTAATATCAGCTATTAAAGCTGATGGATGTTTTCGACCAGCTGAGTCTGTCGAAATGCCCATCGAAAGATGGCATTGTACTTAGAGGATTTCTTCCAGGGGAGAAGTTGGTTGCCTTCGACGTCGAAGGTGTTTCTCGTCGAAGATGCTTCTCGACGAAGGTGTTCGATTGTTCAGAGTGGAACGGTTTGAAATTCGAGCATTTGGAGGGAAAACGGTTTCCAGCAGTTACCAAGTGCAACGTGCAAGGATCTGGAGCGTCGAACGCTGAGAACGTGCCAAGTGGAGTCATCTCGAAGCAGTGTAACTGCCCGACGGTTACTTGGGATGTTTTAGTATAAATAGTAGTAGTTCACGCAGTTTTTCGCGTGTGTTCACAATTATACACAAAGTCACTCATATAGATTCGAGTACCCAGCGTGTGAGAAAGAATTGTTGAGAATGTATGTGTGAAACACCACTTTTATTAATCAAAGTCATTTATTTTCCAGAAACTTTACTTGCTTTCTTCTTTACTTTTCCTGTCGAAGC